CCCCCCCCCCGCAGCCCGGTCCCCCTCGGCCGCTTCCCCAGGGCGATCCCGGGTTTTCCCACACCCTGGCTCTGCCACTCCATGGCTGAGACGTCCCCTGGTGCCACCCCCTCCAGCCGCGGCCCCTCAGATGGCCCAATGGCTTCATCGTCTGTGGGGATCTCATTGAGCGACATGCGGGAGCCAGAGAACTCCACCTGGTGTGGCATGGGGATGAAGGGCAGCTCATCCAGGTCGTCCGAGTCCGAAGAGGATGACAGCGCTGGTGACTCCTTGAGGTGCCGGGGCACAGCGATGGAGAGGTGGTTGGACGTGTCCTCCAGCAGCTCCGGGATCGGCCGCAGCACCATGTTGCACTTGTAGCTGATCTGCGAGCGCTGCAGCAGCAGAACTCCACCTGGTGTGGCATGGGGATGAAGGGCAGCTCATCCAGGTCGTCCGAGTCCGAAGAGGATGACAGCGCTGGTGACTCCTTGAGGTGCCGGGGCACAGCGATGGAGAGGTGGTTGGACGTGTCCTCCAGCAGCTCCGGGATCGGCCGCAGCACCATGTTGCACTTGTAGCTGATCTGCGAGCGCTGCAGCCGGCAGAGAGGGCTGGATCAGGCCCAGGTAAGTGGCACGGCATCATCCTGCCCAGGGCACATCACCCTGTCCTGCCCAGGGCATGTCACCCTCTCCTGTCCAGCACACATCACCCCATCCTGCCCAGCACACAGCTCTGCCTGCCCCCCTCCTGCCCCAGCTCCTGCCGTCACCTGCCATTTCCGACGGGAGAGGAAGAGCTTTAGGTGGTCGGTGCTGATGACTTTCCCCTTGGCCAGCGTCTGCAGGACGAGGGGACAGTGGTGTCCCACAGAGCCTACAGCAGGCTCAGGGGAACCCCGCTGCCACCGGGCACTGGGTGCCTGTCCAGGCTCACCTTGAACCAGGGATGCTCCAGAGTCTGCTCCGCATTGGGCCTCCTGCGAACCGAAACCACCGGGTAAGAATGGCCCAGGCTGGGGGGGTTTGGCTAGCCCAGGGAAGGGCAGGAGGGTCTGGCTGCCCATGCTGCACCGGAGGAGTGGGGACAGGGGACCCCGCAGGACTCACAGCCTGTCATTGACCAGCACTTTGATGACAAAGCCCTTGGCTTCCCGGGTGAGCCCCTGGAACATCTTCTCCTCAAAGGCCACGTTGTAGTTGCGGATGTTCATCAGCGTCGTCTTGTCATTCTCCCCCACAAAGGGGGAGATCCCCGTCAGGCTGCCAAGAAGGGGGACACTGTCATCGGGCCGGGGGACATGGGGAACAGCATGGCAAGTATAGGGGACTGAAGATGGAACCCGGGACCCCAGCCCAAATGCCATGGGGAGGACAGAGGTAGGAGCAGTTGGGGAGGAGGCTGAGCCTGCAAGGAACGATGTGCATTGCCACAGCCCCAACACTGCAACTGGCAAGGGGGCAGGAAGGGGGTCCATTCCGTGGGGGCCCACCAAGGCACTTACCAGAGGTAGGCGATGACACCCACAGGCCTGTGGAGAGGACAGCGTGGTTACTGCACAGCACAAGTCCTCCAGGGCGCCCAGTCCCTGTTCGCATAGCGGGGAACCCGCCGTCCACCCCGGCGCCGCCCTTACCAGATGTCGGTGACACTGGAGACAGGGCTCTGGTTGACGATCTCAGGCCCCACGAACTCGGGGGTGCCGTACTTGCAGTACTGCGGCTCCTCGGGTGTCAGCTCCTGCGCGTTGCCGAAGTCGCAGATCCGGACCTGCTCGCTGCTCGAATCCGCCATCAGGAGGTTTTCTGGCTACAGGACAACGTGCGGCGGAGGGGAGCTTGGCAGGAGGCAGGGGCTCCCCCCAGGGAAGACATGTCCCCTGTCAGCAGGACCGAGCCCCCAGCAGCACAGCGGGAGCCCGTCCTTGCGGGCGCAGGGCAGGAGGGGATGGGAGAGCCCCGTACTCACTTTGATGTCCAGGTGCAGGACGCTGTGCTGGTGCAGGTAGCAGATCCCCTCCAGGACCTGCCGCATGTAGGATCGGACCTGTGAGAAAGCGGAGAGAGGGTGGGCACCCTGAACGTGGGTCAGCCCCACGCTGGCCCCATGCGGAGGAAGGCGCAGGCTGCAGCCCCCTTTGTAGCCTGACACAATGAGCGTTGCACGTCCCTGGGCTGGGACAGACCCCTGGTGTCCCCAGGCTCCCTGCTTCCCCCATCACCTTGCCCTCCTGGGGTTCACCCACCTCGGACTCGCACACCGAGGGCTTCCTCGCCATCCTGTCCAGCAGCTCTTCCTCAGCACAGCTGGGCCCCAGTCAAGGAGCACAGAAATGCCATGTCCCACCATGCCCTACACCCTCCTGGGCACCCAGCCCCTCCGCACCCACTCTGCTCCCGCAAAAGCCTCCCTCATCCCCAGCACTGTGCGCTCCTGGAGCAACGCCTGGAGGATACAGCTCCATGACCACGATGACAGCGTTCTTCTTCTCAAAGGCATCGTGGAAGAAGACGATGCGCTCGTGGTCTAGCTGTGAGAGGATGTGCAGCTCCCGCCGTGCTGACTGCTTGGCCTTGGTCTTCCCAGGAATGAACTTGGCAGCAAAATCCAGCCGGCTGCTCTTCTCCGTCACCCTCCGCAGGTAGGAGAAAGCCCCCCTGCAATGCAGCGATGGGGGAAAGGAAGGATAAGAAGGTGGGGGAGCAGGAGACCTCCCCTTCCCCGAGCAGCTAGGGCAGGCGCCTGCTCCGCAGGGAGCTGCCCAGTCCCCTGGCAACCCTCCAGGACCATCCACGGAGAGACTTCAGGCCTGGCTTTGCTCCAGCTGCCCTGGCTCCCCACCCTGAGCCGGTGCCGGGGCATCCAACGATGGCTGAGAGCAGCCCCATCACCGCATCAGGATCTGATATACCATGGAGCTTCGATCCCTGAAGACAAAACCCCAGGGTGCAGCCTGGCTCCAGCACCCCCGTCCCTGTGGTCCCCATGGTGCCCTGCTGCCCACCGTGCTGGTGGCCCCGTACCTCCCGATCTCCTCGTGCACGTCGTAGTAGTCGGTCAGGCGTCGTGCCTTGTGCAGAGCATCCTCCTCCATGGTGGCATCGGCAGCAGGCTGAGCTGGGGGAAGAAAAGGCGCTGGCGGGGGGCAAGCCGGGCACCCAGGCTCTGCCCCCCGGGGCCGGGGGGCCGGCCAGCCGTACCTGCCCGCACCACCAGTTCCGCCTTGCAGGAGACCTCCCCAGCCAGGTTCTTGGCTGTGCACGTGTAGACGCCACTGTCAGACTCAGCAGCGCCCAGCACCACCAGTGAGCACTCGTTGTCCTCATACACGAAGCTCAGGTGGCTGCTCTCCTCCAGCAGATCCCCGTCCTGGGGGTGGCAGGGGCATCAGAGGGGTCCCATCCCATCCCCAGCCAGTTCCTGCCACCCTTTCCCCGTGGATGGGGGCATGGGGCACATATTGCATCACCAGGGGTGAACACAACACCAAAGCCCCAATGCAGTGACCCAGGTGATGCAATGGCGGTTGTGGGTCTGGGGGGGCTGTGGGTCAGGAAGGAGGTGGGGGTGGTCCCAGCCCACCTTGTACCACATGATGTCTGGCAGCGGTTTCCCCTCCACCACCACGGCGAAGCGTGGCGTCTCCCCTTCCTGGGCATCGATGTCCTCCATGATGGACTCAAAGCGCGGTGCCTCTGGTGAGAGATGGGGTGTGGGGCACCATGGGACAGTGCCACCCCCCTGCCACTGGCATGGTGTACAGCTGTGGGGCACTGCGAGGAAGTGCCAGCCCATGGTATAGGGGCATGGAGTGACATGGAGCAACGGACATGGGATTGGGACGCTACGGGGCAGACCATCAATGACATGTGCCTGCAGCACAGTGGGACAGTCACCCATTGGCATGGGGCACCATGGGGCAGTGCCACTCACAGCACATGGGCATAGGGCACTGTGGGGTTGCATCTCCCAGTTACATATGGGTATGGGGTACTGTAGGGCAGTGCCACCCATGACACCTCTGTGGGGCATTGTGGAGGTGTCCCCTATGGCTCTTGGCAATAGGGCATGAGGGGGGAGTGTGTGCCACCCCATTATACACAGGTATGGGACTGCAGCAGTGCCACCCATGGCACATGGCTGAGGGACACCATGGGGCACTGCCATCCCATGCACACGGTCATGAGGCACATGGGACACTTCTACCCAAGTCAGATATGGGTATAGGACACCAGGCAGTTGTATCAACGTATGGTTCACGTGTTTTCAGGCCCGTGAGTCATTGCCACCCTGTAGAGCAGCATCCTCATGACATACAAGTGTGGAGCACTGAGGAGCAGTGCCCTGCTATGGGGCAGTGCCCCCATGGCACATGGGCTTGGAGCACCGGATGGTGATGCCACCCCCCCAGGCAGAGGGGTACGGCCTCCCAGTGTGGGGGCACCTACCTGCGAGGCGGAGGCGGAGGGTGCAGCGGGCAGCGCCGTGGCGGTTGCTCACCTCGCAGACCAGTGGCCCCGCGGCCCCCCGGCCCACGCGCAGCAGCCGCAGGCAGTGCTGGTCATCATCCGGCATCGTCACCTCGCACATCCCCTCCTGCTCCTCCAGCACCTGCCCGCCCCTGCAGGCACACCAGTTGCCACATGACAGCCCCACAGGCAGCCCCAGCCCCACTGCCCCATCGATAGCTCCCACCCCACAGACCCATGGCCACCTTCTGACCCACAGACAGCCCTGGCCCCGGTTCCCACCCTGCAGCCCCCCAAATGGCTTGCACCCTATTGCTAGCTTTGCCTCCTGAATGGCTCTCAACACTTAGCACCCCACAAACAGCACACCCCTCCCAAAAAAGCCCACCGCATGCAGCTCTGCACAGCCCTGGGCATCACCCTTGGGGGCATGCCCAGCCCAGCCCCAGTGAAGGACCCCCCCACCCACCACAGGCCGCACGAGGAGCTGGTGCAGGAGCCCCTTTCACAAGCCATGGGGTGATGCTGGGCATGGGGCAGGCAACGGGCACAGCACCATGTCCTACCTCTTCCAGGTGACAGCGGCCTCCACGTGGTTGATGGTGATGATGATAGAGGCTGGCTGGCCCTCCACCACGTAGACCACATCTGGCTTGTCCAGGATGACCGGGGCCTCTTCCAGGTAGGGACCTGCCACACTCATCGTCACCACCACCTCTGGACCCCACATCGCCCAGCCTTGGCCAGTTTACCACCCCACCAGCAACAGAGACCCCTCCACCCCCACCACCCATCCCTTCCCCACTGCCCCTCTCACCCCGGTCCAGGAGCTGCACAGGCCCCACAGGCGGGGAGGGCTTGCTGTTGGTCTTGGGGGTGGCAGTGATGACACGGAAGAGGTACTGGGCACCCTTGGTCAGCCCGTGCACTGTGTAGGTGGTGTCCCGCACGCCGGCCACCAGCACCAGCCACTGCGTCGTGCCCAGCACTTGCATTTGCACCATGTAGGTCACCGAGTTGGGGTCTGGAGGAGGAGAGGGTCAGTAGAGCTCCCGGCATCGGGCTGGCTCGGGTACCCCGTCATGGCGTTGCCCACCCCCTGCCCAGCCCCAGTCCCCTCACCTATGGCAGTGTCCAGCCACTTGGGCTTGTTCCAGGTCAGCGTGATGGCTCTGCCAGTCACCGAGGCCACGGTGGGGGGCCCATCCGGGGGGGTCGGCACCACATCTGCATGGGGAGGTGGGCAGGGGTGTAAGCGTGACCACTGCCACAGCTCCTTGGGCATCTGTCTCACACCCTCGGAGATGTCGGCTGGAGGGGATGGATGGGGCCAGCGACCCTCACTGGTTCCCTGCAGGGGCTCAGCCTGGCAGCCCCTGTGGGGCTGGTGGTCCCAGCAAGTCCCATGTGGGTCCTGGGGGTCCAGGGATGGGTTCTGACCCCGCAAGGTGAGGACTGCACAGCTGTCCCCACTTTTAGTTTGGATTAGAGACACCCTGAGGTCCCCTCTAACCTGAACTTCCCTGTGATCCTACCACCCTAGGACCTTGCTACAGGGCCACCAACCCCCAGCTCCGGGGCACAGCCTGGCAGGGTGACAGTGAGTGGCCACACATCCCCTGCTGGTGCCCGCTGCTGCTTACCGGTGACATAGAGGTGTGCGTAGCACGTGGCCTTCCCCACTTTGTTGGCGATGACACTTTTATAGACACCAGCATGTGCATGGCTGACGGCCGTGAACACCAGGCGATGGACATCCTTATCTAGGGGGGAACAGGGGGACATGGGTAAGACCCCACCAGCCAAGCGGCGCAGAGCTCCCCTCCCTCCTCATGGGGCGTGAAGGTCTGAGGGGTGATGTCTCATCACAGGGTGTCCCCCCTTCCTCCACGCTGTGGAGGAACCCCAAGGGGGCAAGGAGGGTGACAGGGAGCCCTACACTGCATCATCTTGCGGTCCTCGGTGCTGTCGATGCGGGAGCCGTTGTGGAACCAGGTGATGGAGGGGTAGGGCAGCCCGGCCACCTGGCACTCCAGCACGGCCTCCTTTGACTCCACCACGTCCAGGTTGTGCAGCGGCTTCAGGAAATCAGGCATGGTGAAGCACTCTGCCTCCGTTTCCGCCTGCTCCGGCTCCTCTGGGATGGATGGCATCTTCTCCAGCTTGGAGCTGCAAGAGCCCACACACACACACTCGTGGCAGGAACACGGTGCCCCCAGCCCAGCCCCAACCCCAAGCTTTGCACAAACCCATCGTCCCCCAAATCCCAGAGGGGGAGCAAGCACAGGGGATGCAGATCCCAGAGAGCCCCGACTCTTACATCTGGGAAGCAGCAGACGGTCGCGGCTCCTCCACGTAGAGCTCAGCAGAGCACTCCACATGGCCATGGGCGTTCCTGGCTGTCACCGTGTACTGCCCCTCATCCTCGCTGCCCACGTGTACAATGACCAGTGAGTGCAGCCCCCCATCCCGCTGAATCCGTACGTTCTCCCCCTCCTGCACCGGCTGGCCTGCAGGGGGACACACACCAGCATCAGCATCATCACCCCTCCTAGCCCCAGCCAGGCACGAGCCCTTGGGTGCAGCCCCCGAGGGGACAGGGAGAGGCCTCCCTGTAGGGCCCAGGACAAGCTCTCTGGGCTTGTGGGTTACCAAAATGAGTCCAGGTGACCGCCGGAGGAGGAGTCCCACTGATCATGCAGTCGAAACGCGCCGTCCGCCCTTCCACCACGTCCACGTCCTCCAGCTTGCGGGTGAAGAGCGGCTGCACGGAGGGCTGCACCGTCAGCCGGGCGCTGCAGGTCAGCTCATCTGCAAGGAGAGCGGGTAGGGGTGAGCCCCAGGCAGCACGTGTGGCGCAGGGCAAGAGGCAGCCTGCGACCCCCGGGCTGCAGCCCCAGCAGCCAACGTGGTCATAGCTGAGGGTACCCCACACCTGGTGGGGGCTGAGCCCGGGTGTGCTGGGTGCCAGGCTCTGTCCCTGCATGGGACAGGGGGGGCACAAGTGTGTGCAAGGTCCCCCATGCCCAGGGCTGGGGCTCTGCTGGCAGCGGGGTGCCTCTTTTGTCCCCTCACAGCAGTACAGATGCCAGCAGAAAGGTGGGGCGGGAGGATGCCCTGTCGTCCCCATAGGGCAGGGCGTCACAACTAGCCTAGACCCTTGGGGACAGGGCGGTGACACCGAAGCAGGCAGCGCCAGCACGTGCAGCACCCAGGGGCAGCATGGGGATAGGCACAGGCTGGATGCTCTAGATGAGGGGGTTTGCAGCAGGGACAGCTTTGAGTCATGGTGTCCCACCACCCATACTCAGGCACAGCCTCACCTCCCTGCACCCAAAACTACTGCTGTGCTTAAATCCCTGCGGGTGTGCAGCCTGCTCCGTGGAGGGATGCATGGGCACCAACAGCAGGGTGCTGGGAATGCCACTGCACCCACCGCAGCCTGGGTTACAGCTGAGGGGATGGAGAACTTGTCCCTGTCCTGCTGGGGGGGACAGAGGCTGCGTGCAGCACGCACAGGCAAAGGCGGGTGTCGGATCTATGGGACAGAGTCTGGGTCTTGCTGCTGCTCTTCCTCGGCTGCCACCAGTGATGGTTTGGTGGGAGAGGGTGGGTGGCCCTGACCCCCTGCCACCCCCCAGGGCCAGCAGAGACAGGTTGGCACTGGAGCCGGGTGCCTGGAGGCTCTGGATCCAGAAGGGCAGGGAGAGCTGGGCTCCAGGGCTGTGTTCAGCCGGTGCAGCCACAGCACGAATACATCTCCCCACGTTTCTGGGAGCTGCATGCATGGCGGTGGAGGAGCTGAGTGGGATGCGAGAGGGCTGAGGGTGCTGAAGCCCAAGGACTGATGCACACCAGTTTTCCCAGCCGGGGAAATCTCCCCAGCTCCTGGGACCAGAAACCACTCCCTGTCCTCCTATCACCCACCTCCAGCACTCACAGCTACATCCTGGAAGGACCGGAGCCCCAAAGTCAGGGATGGGGGGAGGTTGTCCACCCCCAGCACCCCCTTAGGGCCGAGCCCCAAGCGAGACCCCCGCCCCCACCCTGCCCCGGGGAGCTGCGTGACCGCCGCTTACCTTTAGCTGTGCTGAGCTTGCAGGTGTAGATCCCGCTGTCGTCCTCGTGCACGGAGGTGAGCAGCAGCTTGCACTTGCGCCCGTCAAAATGCATCTTGCATTTGAGCAGGGCGGGCTGGAGCAGCCGGCCCCGGGATAGCCAGTCCACGTCCATGTCTGGCGG